AAAAAAAAAAAAAAAAAAAAATGAATACATTGTGGAAAATAAATATACCTCCACACATGGGCACACATTCACAAATATACCAATGCATTCCATTTTTGCAATATGTCATTCTACAGCTTGAGAAGATAAACTGTTTGTGTTTATATTTTGAACCTCTAGGAGGGCAGAAACAAATTCTGTGTTTTTTAAAACAATGCTTAGTCTGATTTAATATATAAAGCTAATAAATATTTTAAGGTGATAATGAGGAAGGTGATAAAATTATTACTGTTCAATGTATGTCAAACATTCAGAAATGATTTATCTATGACTTTTCTTGGGAGAAAATTTTATATTATACCTAGAGATAGATACAGTGGTTAGAAGATGAAGTCACTTCAATGGGATACTTCCATTTTAGCAAGGGGGATAAAAACTCTTTCTATATATGAAGTAATAATTTTTGACATAGAAAATACCAAGTCATTGAATGTTATTGTTGATTAATATTACTGATATTTATTGTTAGGGGTACCTGCCTGCATCTCCACTCTCTGTTACCCTTACCCTCTTTATCATTTTATTATGTTATTTATTCAACCAATATGTATTGGGTACCCAGGGAGAGAGTAGTTTAAGAACATAAACAAAACAGAAACCCTGCCCTTGGAGTCTAACACTCTAATGTGGTAAAGATAAAATAAACTCAATAAACTAGTAAAATACATGATATGTAAGTTAGGGATATGTGTCAAGGACAAAGATAAAGCAGAGTACAGAGAAAGACTCTTCTAGGATGAGTTGCATTTTTAGATAAGTGACAGAGAAGGCATCATCGAGTGATATATGAGTGAAGACCTGAAGGATGTAAAGGAGTGAGCAATCTAGGCAGGGGGAATGGCCAGTGGAAAGGCCCTAAGACAGGCGTGGTATATGTCAGTGATATGGTTTGGCTGTGTCCCCGCCCAAATCTCATCTTGAATTATAACTCCCACAATTCCCATGTGCCATGGGAGGAACCCAGTGGGAGGTGATTGAATTATGAAGGTGGGTTTTTCCTGTTCCGGTTTTGTGATAGTGAATCAGTCTCACGAGATCTGATGGTTTTAACAACAGGAATTTCTCTACACAGGCTCTCTTTTTACCTGCTGCCATCCATGTAAGACATGACTTGTTTCTCCTTGCCTTCTGCCATGATAGTGAGGCTTCCCCAGACACTTGGAACTGTAAGTCTGTTAAACCTCTATTTCTTTTGTAAATTGCCTAGTCTTGAGTATGTCTTTATCAGCAGTGTAAAAGTGGAAAAATGCAGTCAGGAACAGCATGGAGGTCACTGGTGCTCCATTGGAGTCAAGAGTGGGGAGAATAGCAGGACGGACACAGACAGTTAAGGGAGGGAGTGCCTATTAGCCCTTGTAGGTCTGTGTAAGGAATTTGGTCTTAATTCTGAATGAAATGGTAGGCTCCCAAATATTGAGGAGTTCCTGCATACACCCTTTTTAACCTGTTCATTGTGGCTACTATGCCTGGGGCTAAAGTATAGAAGAGGGAGGACTACCAGGAGCCAGTTACTTTATCAGAAAGACATTGGTATGAGCGTGGGGTGTGTGTGTGTGTGTGTGCGCGCGCGCGCGTGTGCATCTGTGTGTGTGTATGTGTGTGTCTGTGTGTATTGGGGAAGGGATTGCAGATACCATTATGAGCCCAATTACAGACATGATAATTTGGAGATGCATAGTAGATATCCAAGTAGAGGCGAGTAGACAGATATATAAACCTTGGTCCAGAGCCTTTAACTGAGTTGGATATGATTTGGGGAGTCTATATTTACATGATATTTGAAGCATGAGACTAGATGAAATCAACAATGATGTTAAAGTAGATAGAGAAAGGACAAGAGGTCTAGGTTGAGCTCTAAGTCACTCCAAAACTGAGAGGTCAAGCTAATGAGGAGAAACCAGCAAAGAACATTAGAAGAAATGGCAAGGGTTGAGGGTATTTTCAAGAATGTTAGTATATTCATTGACCCCCAGAATTTAAGCAGGCAAAGAAGGACAGAGGGCACATTAGAGGGTCAAGTAACAGTGAATTATAGGGCATGCGGTAATCAAAGGATTATTGAAGTCGGTCATGTAGAGAAGGAGCTGGACATGCAGGAGGTGATGACTATCCTATTTAATAGTGATGACTATTAAAACTGACATCCAGGCATGGTTGTAGTAACTGGTAATGGCAAGGTCTAGAATAAGACTATTAGGTTGACAGGCTGAGTTAGACTGAAGGGTAAACACATTGGAAGAGGAAAGTCACAAAACAGAAAGATGAGACTATTACAAGGATTATGTCTGTAGTGTTGAAATCAAAAGAAATTATGACAGGTCTACTGTTGGAGGGAATGAAAACTAGGAACTAAAATCTTTGGTGGATGAGAGAAGACCTGGGAATGCAGCCCTGATGACTGCAAAGGACAGGGGTAGTGCTGGGTTCATCTGATGACACAAAGTCCAGAGCTGAATGCTTTTAGAAAGAGAATTCCTTCTCAATATTCAGGCTTAGCACTACTAAGGTCTTGGGACGGATAAGAGTCCCAACTGGAGAGGGCTGATGGGAATCAGTGCTACCAAGAGAAATAGGGTTTCAGCTGTTGGGAAAAGGTGAAAAGAACATGTAGAAAAGACAACAGAGATAAAACGGTTTTGCCAATGGTTGAGGAGGAGGTTTTGCCAATGGTTGAGGAGGAGTTTCAGAAAGCACAGTGAAAAAAATGTTGAGGTGGTGTACACGGAGCTATTTAGGAACCAGGAATTTTAGGCTCCTGTAGTGACTGAACTAATAGTAACAAAGACCATGATAGCCTCAAGGGAGTTAAGGGGCTAGTGAGCAGAGGAGGATGGGAGTCTGTCCAGGAGCTACTGGATTCCTTGCTCTTCCCGTGTTTGGAGATGTTTACATACATAAATGTACTAAATGTCACTGAACAGAAGAAAAAATAACTTACAGATTTTTCTCTACAGCCTTCTGAGGATCATAGAATCCAAAAGTTTGAAGGGTCATTAAAAGTCTATCTTTGGAAAGAACTTTTTTCCTACCATTGGATTTTCATTATCACCTCCATTTGCTTGATACTCAGCCTCTTCCCTTTTTTCTTCCTGACTTTCCAAACCTGCTTACTCTTTACTATTGAGAACCCCCCCAGACCAGAGCGAAGTTCTGAACATTGTTCAGAAACCACAGCTGAAGATCCACCCCTGTGGCCAGCCTTGCAAGAGAGTCGATTCGGGTTCAAAACCTGAATCAGAGGGGGTGGGCTTTGTTATGGAAATTAGGGAAACATGAGAAATGTTGAAATTTAGAATCAACATGAGAAATGTTGAAATATAGAATCAACAGGACTAGGTGGTTATTTAGATGTAGGGGGTGGTATTTGTGCCATAATGGTGATATTTGTAGTATTATCATGAAGAATACATATAGAGAAAACATTGAAGGCTTTAATTTTAAGTGTATTAAGTTTGAATTTTGGGAATAAATAGAACTATCTCTAGGGAATTTTAATTTAAAAGAAAACGTTAATTGTAGCATTACCATGAAGAGTATATATAGAGAAAACATTGAAGGCTTTAATTTTAAGTATATTAAGTCTGAACTGTAGAAATAAATAGAACTATCTCTAGAGAATTTTAATTTTAAAGAAAATCTGGCCTACAGGAGACCAGGAAAAATGTCTGGGTTAGAGATAGAAACCATGGAATTATTAGCATGCAGATTGGAGGGAAGCCTAGTGATGAGGGACACATGGAGGCAGCCTGGAGCCAGGAGAGCCCAGTCTTTAACAGGGAGCTTCAGTCTGTATTGAATTCTGCTCACACTCTTGTCTGGGCAGAGCCCTGAGCCTTGGAGAAATAAAAATCTCTGATCTGAAGTCTGAAGAAAAAATGCTTTCCAACAACTTTCCTAAGCAACAGACCCTGCCTTCTGTGGACTGAAATCAGTTGAATTCCCCCACTGTCGTCCTCCCTAGTGTCAACAATGAAACAAGCTACTTACATAGACATTTCCAAATAGCGTGTATTCTTGCTCAAGCCGTCTATTGTTTTCATGTCCTCTGGTGTCAGCTGGAAGTCAAAAACCTGTCAGAAATGTGAGAAGATCAGTTTTAATATCCTTGAGGCAATTGCTGTTCCTTTTCTCCCCTCTCCAAAACACACAAATCCATGTAGGACTTCGTGTAGGTTTTATGAGTGAGTTGTCATGGACCAAGGATTCATTCAGTGGCATGTCATGGGAATTTGTCCATTTATAAAGTTGAGATTGTCATCGCTAATCTTCCCTCAGAGACTTTTATTGGGGAGCCGTCATTATAGCAAAGAAATCCTACAGAATTTTAAGCCCAAACCTCACATGATCTAATTCCTTCATTTGACAGCTATAGAAATCAAGGGATGACTTACTCAGCACCATACTGTAGGAGAAAAACCAGGATTAGGACCTTCTCCTGACCTCTTTAGTGTTCTTTCCAACCATCACACTCTCCGTTGCAGCACTGGGAGACAAAGCCATTAAATATGGTGCTTATATGCATAGAGTGTAAAAGGAGATAAACTGCCCAAATATACCTTGAGAACTTTGCAAAAGATACCATGGGGAAATGATGTGTCTCTGTCAATCTCCTGCTGCCGCCACCCTGCCCTGTACCTGGAAGTTTTCTGTGATTCTCTTCTCATTGAAGTTCTTTGCCAGGACCACCACCCCCCACTGCAGCTGGTAGCGCAAGGCAACCTGGCCTGGAGTTCGCCTGTGCTTTTCAGCAATGGCATTGAGTATTGGATCCTCCAGGAGAACTGGGTTGCCTTTTTTCACCCTGAGAGGAGAGGCAGAGATGCTGCAAGTCTGAGGCTGAATATCCATTTTACTTGGTAGCTGCTTATTCTGGTCAGGGATGCTAATCCTCTAGAACTTTCCTCATGACCTTCTGGCTGTCTAAATATGTTTTGCTTCTTTTGTTATATCCAAAGAAGAAGAACAAAGGAATGGAAGGTGGCAGTTCTATTCAGCTCTTATAATGTAGGTCTGGGTTAGGTAAAAGGTTTACAAGTGAATTTACTCCTGCTATCTATTTTTAATTTCCCCAGATAATTGAGAGATTACTTCAGAAGGTATAGTATCTGTGGTTAAAATAACTTTACGGGCCAGGCAAGGTGGCTTACACCTCTAATCCCAGCACTTTGGGAGGCCAAGGTAGGAGGATCACTTGAGCCCAGGAATTCAAGACTAGCCTGGGTAACACAGTGAGACCCTGTCCCTACAAAAATAAAAATAAACAATTAGCCAGGCATGGTGGTGCACTCCTGTAGTCCCAGCTACTCAGGAGGTCTAGGAGGGAAGATCCTGACTTGAGCCTGGAAGGTCAAGCCTGCAACAAGCTGTGATTGTGCCCCTGCACTCCAGCCTGGATGACAGAGTGAGACCCCCATCTAAAAAAAATAAATAAAACAAAATGACTTTATGAAGATTATTACCATTCCTTGTCTGAGTCAGACCCCAAGGCAGAATGTGCAGTCATGACAATGTCCTTGGACTTGCAGAACTCCAGGAGTTTGCTGTGGTTGAGGTAAGGGTGACATTCCACCTGCAGAATGCCAAGCAAGAGAATTAGGTTACAGAACCACCACCACCAAGTTTACCAGGGACATGCAGCACTGCATTTCATGGTATCAAACATCTTTTAGAATACCAGCAACACAGGCCAAGCCATGATTGTCATCCACAGCTGTACCCATGAGGCTCCCACAGGCTTTACTTTGGGATGACAGCCCATGGAGGGCATAGCAGTATTGATTAAATAATTAACTCAGTGCTCTTAGATGGCAGGTTGTATACAAGACCAAAAGAGAATTTCAGTCTCCCAGACTGAAAACCATGGTGACGTCTTTGGTTCTTGTTCATTTATTGTTTATGTATAACGAGCAGCAATTTCTGCCTTTCTTGGTTCTTTAATCTCAGTATTCCTTATTTTTAAGGAATATTCCCATTTTCTTCATTGCTGCGACTCCTGATATCCAATAAATTGTCCCTCAACATTTTTTTGAGACTCTGTCTCAAAAAAAAAAATGTGAGTGAGTGGCCAGGACAGAGTTAAAGGAACCAGCATGGTCTTTAGTGAATACCTAGAAAAGTTTGATGGAGCAATGGCAAAACAAGTACCAACAAGTGCCAAGAGAACAGGAAGTGTAGCAGGTGTGGCCCGAGAGGCAGGCCTTCCACCTACAGGACCACCAGCTTCTGCTTTCTGACCTAATTCCCTGCACTGTCCACTCACTCACCATGTCCAGTCTCACATGTCCGCTTGCTGTTCTTGGACACGCTAGTGTCTCTCCCCTCTTAAAAACATTGCCGTGACCCGGTGCGGTGGTTTACTCCTGTAATCCTAGCGCTTTGGGAGGCTGAGGTGGGTGGATCACCTGAGGTCAGAGGTTCTGGACCAGCCTGGCCAACATGGTGAAACCCCGTCTCTACCAAAAATACAAAAATTAGCTGAGCATGGTAACACGTGCCTGTAACCCCAGCTACTCAGGAGGCTGAGGGCAGGAGAATCGCATGAACCCAGGAGACAGACCTTGTGGTGAGCCAAGATCACACTATTGCACTCCAGCCCGGGTGACAGAGCAAGACTCCATCTAAAGAAACAAAAACAAAAGAAAAACTTTGCCTTGTCTTTCTTTCTGCCTGCATCACTCTTTCCCCAGACACCTACACAATCAACTCCTGCATCTACTGCAATTCTTTGCTCAAATGTCCACTTTTTTTTTTTGGAGACAAAGTGTCACTCTGTCACCAGGCTGGAGTGCAGTGGCACCATCTCTGCTCACTGCACCCTCCGCCTCCTGGGTTCAAGCAATTCTCGTGCCTCAGCATCCCGATTATAAGCATGTGCCACCACACCCAGCTAAGTTTTGTGTTTTTAGTACAGACAGGGTTTCACCATGTTGGCCAGGATGGTCTCGCTCTCCTGACGTCGTGATTCACCCACCTCTGCTTTCAAAGAGGCCTACCCTGCCACTGTGTTTTTCATTGATAGTCTGTGCCCCAAACCAACTCCAGCACTCAGCTTTATTTCTTACCCCCACCTACCACAGCACCTACCCATGCCTGGGCCAACACCCTGATTCTGTTCACTGATGTTGCCTGGGTAAGCAGAATAGAACTTGATACACCCTAGGCACTCAATACATACTCGCTGGATGATTAAGTGGATGAAATGTGAAAACAGAGGCAGAGAGACATTCGGGGACTCTCCCCAGTCTGAACATTGGGCAGAATTAGACCAGGTCCAGTTTTCTGAATTCCTTGTCCATTTTTCCTCTCTCTCCCAAGGTGCAGAGATGTTGGGCTCACTGGAGCTGCACTCACCTCCCATGTGCTGCAGAGATCCACTGTGTCAAAAATGATCTTTCCCTGTGCATCCATCGGCAAAATCTCCTCCCCAGGCTGGAACACGAAAAGAAAGAGAGTTTGCACAAAGCTCTGTCTGGCCTCAGCCAAGCTTGGGGCCCATAAACCTTGAGACTGATAGAACCATCTGTCCTTATTCTTGAACAGATTTGTAAAATTAGGCTAATGGCTAGGGAAGTACATGCAGGAAATATGCGTCCTAGAAATGCTTTCGAACGTTACAGATTCAGTAAATATTGACTGTGTCAAGGCTAAGCTGAGGCACCTGGATCCCCTCCCAGGCAGACTCTAGGGTGTTATGGTGCCCAGCAGGCCCCCTGGTCCTGGACCCTTGCGAAGAGCTGTCTCCTTGCCAGTGACTTGTCAGCATTCAAAGCTGAGTCTCGTCCTCACCGAACTTCCTGTTCCTAAACTGAACTCCACTGTCGGCGACATGGGTTTGAGACTCCAGGGGATAAGAACTTGAAAATGTCGGCAGTACATCCACAACACTGCGGCAAAGCCGTGGATACCAGTGAACTCCTGTCACTCTAGGGCTAGAGTTGTGAACTGACTTTGGAAAAGTTTCAGAAAAATAAAAAGCGCAAGAGAGAATCTTAAAGTATTATTTATCTTCTCATCCTCACAAACTGATTCCTCTCTTGCATTCAGTTACAATATTTATGTTGATCACCAAATTAAAACAACTTGTGCTAACCTGCAAAGGTACTGGGAAATGAAAAAGGTAAAGATCCACGTAGCTCAGCTGAAGTTTCTTCAGTGACATTTCAAGGCCTCTTTGGACCAATTCTGGGCAGGAAAAGGTGCCCCACACCTGCAATGATTGAAAGAGAAGTTGTGTGAGATTATTTCTTCAAAAGTCTTCGAGAGAGCTTATTGAAATGGCAAATAAACATCAGCAGCCAAACCATCTTAGAGAAGTGACAAGTTACTCCCAGTGAACGCGTAAGTTCTTAATTATCATGGCAGATTTTCATATGGAATAAAGACGATAAATGTAGGAAAAAAATACGGGTTTCAGCAGAGATTCTCAAATTTTTAAGGTAAAAGAATAATCTGATTTGCTTGTACAAAACATATTCCTGGGTTCTACTCCAAACGTAATAAATCACAACGTCTAGAGAGTGGACTGGGAAAATGCCTGCCAGACAATAGCCTGAACTGATGGTGATTCAGTAGGCCCTGGCTTGACTGTATTAAATGGTTAGGTTTCCCAAAGAAGGTTAGGCCCATAGGAGAAATCTTTTTTGGGTGCTTCAGTTCCCTCGTTCTAAGAAGCAGTAATCTAGGGGAAGAAATCATCAAAATGACTAAAACTAAGGAAACCAGCGTTTCGTACAATGTTTTGTATGAAGGGTCACACATTCAGTACGAAAGGAGAATTAAAAGATGGGACTGAGAAGGCTGGTGCCATAGCTACTGCACAGCTAAAGGCAGTCATATGTCACATGCTGGGCTGGAAGGAAGAAACTTTTTTTTAAAATCAACTTGCATGGGATTCACTTGCACGGGCCTAAGTGCTATCTCTGTGAACTACTTCCCCTCACGTTTAAATGGTTTTTGTTTTTTGTTTTTTCTAGCAGTAGTCAGGTCAGTGAATACTAGGGTAAAAATTGCTTTGGGGTTCCTTTCCCTATCTGACTTAAATACATAAGTTATTTTATTTGTTTTGGATATGATGCCAGTGAATATGAAGAATATTATTAATAGAAGAAAATGGCTCAAGGGTTTAAAAAGTACATAAGTACATTTACAAACATTAACCTAATCTTCAGAGAAATAAACAGTAAACATTTATTGACCACAAAATGGGTGGAGATGTCAGGAGGAAGGCTCAGAGAGGTTAAAAAACTTTTTTGGTTAAGAAATTTCACCAAGTCAAATGGAATATTCAAGAACTAAAATTTGATCCTAGTTCATCTGTTTCCAAAGCCTATGCTTTCTGACTAAATCACATTACTTCATACTTTAGCTAAGAAAGATTAAGTCACTTTGTCAAAACTTGACTATCGTAGAGTAGGAAAAGTCAAATCATTTCTGAGTTAAAACATATGATAATAATAACAGCATTTTTGAGCATCTGAAATGTTATCAAATACTTTTCAGCAAGATTTACATGTGTTTTTAAAAGTGTAACACTCATGAAAATCCTGTGACATAATACTGTCTCTGTTTTACAACTTGGGAAACTGAAGGATAGTATTTTAGTAGTTTGTCGAAGGTCGCACATATTCATTTATTTTTACACTTGCTATAGACTAGGGAAGGTCACACATTTAATAAGTGGCAGAGCCTGGATTCAAATATAAAAGTCTCATTACAGAATTCACATTCCTAACCAGACTTCTCATGACGCAAGGTCTGAGTAGATGAAGATTAAACCAATGAAGAGAAATTTGCCAAGGAGCTCTACAGCTAAGAGTGAGCTCTCCGCAGAAACAGATGCATTGGTACACAGCACCTTTGTGGTATAGAATATATCTTTTCTCTTCACAGTGCCATTGGCAATCTTCTTTTGGATGGCCTGCCCGATGGCTTCTTCATTCAGGTACGAATAAGCTGAGTCAATATGGTGGTAGCCTACATCAATTGCTACCTGGACGGCCTCTTCTACATTACTCATAGTAACCTGGAAGAGCATAAAGAGATAAAGATTTGTTTGACTCAGGAACAGATGATCAATTCTCTTAGCAGAGATATTCAAAAGAACCTTTTTTCCCCCCTACTAAGGGCTAAAAGCTAGAGGTGGCAAAGCTAAATGTTGAGTAAAAATCAATAGTAAGTGTTTAGCAACTAGCTCTGAGGAAGTCCTGGTTTGCAGTATTTGCCAATTTCTATAGTGTAAATACTCCCACTATGGATGAGTTCAAGCTTGCTAAATTGGGCAAAGATGCTCACAATACACTCTTTTGAGTCCTTATGAGCACATCACAGTCTTTAAATCTCTATGTATTTATAGTATGTTTATGATCTATAGATTTGCACAATCTATAGATTTACATTCCTAACTTAATTTGCTCTATAAGAGGTTATAAAATTGGTTTTGATCCAATAATTTAGTTCTTATAGTTGTCTATCCACATAAAGATATAACTTTAGACACAATAAATTATTAATTTACCTATCTAAACTTGGAAAAACAAAGAACATTTGAGGAAGAATAAAAATAGGAATAGTTTTAAAACATTATTTTAAAAGAAATAGCTTTTAAAAGAAAAAAAGCAATTTTCTTTTAAAATATTTTAAAATAAATTATTTTTAAAATAAAAAATTATTGTAAAAGGAAACCTGATTTTTCACTTAAAAAGCCCTCGTAATTAATTCTTCTTTTGGTTGCTTTGCTGGTTCTTAGGCAACACTTTCTCCTTCACATCTTTCTTATATTTTTTTAATCTCCTGGCCCACCAGCCTGGACTCTTGAAGTCATCCATAATTTTTCCATTTATATTAGCACCTCTACACTTCACTCAGTAAGTATAATGCCTTTTGGGTATATTTGTTTCACTTCCAACTACGGTTGAGTCAACTGAGTCCATGAAGATAAACTATCCCCAGGTTAAAGAGCCAAGGCATGGCAAAAGCAATACTGCATGAGAGTCTTCTTTGCAGTCCTCAGTGGTACACACGATGTTTGTCTCGCGTTGGGAAACAATCCTGCAACTTTTATAACATTCTTCACCAAGAACTACTGAGATGTGCCCTTGTAAGTTTGGAGTATTTGATCCAGAAACGTGGCATGGAGCCAAAGACAAGATTTTTCCAAGTACCATGTAACTCTTTCATGGCACCATCTTACCAACCTGGTCTCTCAGAGACCATGGCCACCTCAGACCACACAGCTCGCTCTAAGCCTGTCTCTCTTTCCCCAAGTTCCTTTGCTACAGAACTTTCTCTAGATACTCTTATTAGTGGTGAACAGGGAGGACTTGGGTACTAAAAATTACAGCACAACTTTAAAGTTTGCTGTGAAGTTTCTGGCACAGCATGGTAATCATGTCAATAGGGTTTTATTTCCTCTAATATACTGTGAAAATGGCTACAACTGTACAACAAGAGAGAGTAACAGCAACCAACTTACCCACCTCTGAATTCTGAGCAATCGCATGCACACTTCCATCTATCTTGATGGAGTGCCACTCCAAGCACGGTTTTGGACAAGCAGCATCAAAATCGTTTGGGAGCTTATTATAAATTATAAATGTGAATTTTAGAGCCTCATCCAAGATCTACTCAATCAGAACCTTCAGGGATAGGGCCTCCAAATGTGCATTTTTAACAAGATCCTCAAATGTTTATATCTCTACTAAAACGTGAAAAGCCCTTACTTAATGCACAAAGTAACCTAACTTGGTGAGAAGTATCCTCCAAAGAGAAAAGTGAGGCCCACCTGAATTTCCCAGACTCACGTAGTGACTAATTCTGGTCAGGAACCACCTGCTACTCCTCCTTCCCCAATGCTGTTATGGTTACCTTCCTAGCAGCAGAGGTGCCAAACCCCAGAACAGGCATGAGTTTCCATCATTCAGTTTTACAGAAAGGAGTCTGTTAAAACTCATCTTCTTTTACTTTTCCTGCGAAGCAGAGGTTTTTTTCCTTTATTAGGATAAATCTGTAGAGAAAAGAAAATACAATGACTATTTTTATAACAAGTCGGAGTCTCACCCTGTCGCGTGACCTCTATATTGATCTTGTATCTTGTATCTGTATTGATCTTGTATCCCACAACTTGACTGAACTTGTTTATCACCTCAAATAGTATTCTAGTAGATTCCTTAATATTTTCTTTTTTCTTTTTTATTAGGATAGAAATGGGGCCTCACTATGTTGACAAGGCTGGTCTCAAACACTTGGTTTCAAGCAGTCCTCCTACCTCAGCCTCCCAAAATATTGAGATCACAGATGTGAGCCACTGCACCTAGCCCGTAAGATTTTCTTCAAGCATGATGATGAAATCTGCAGGTAGAAATAGTTTTACTTCTTTTTTATAATGGCTTGACTGGTGTCCTTCTAAAATTCATGTTTACCCAGAACTTCAGAATATGACCTTTTATGGAAATTAAGTTTTTACAGATATAATTAGTTAATATGAGGTCATACTGGATTAAGGTGGGTTCTAAAGTCAATGACCAAAGTCTTTAGAATGAGAAGAGAGAATACAAATACACATAGAAAAGAAGGCCACATAACTATGAAGGCAGAGACTGAAGTGATTCAACTATAAGCCAAGGCATGCCAACTACTACTGGGAGCCACCAAAAGCTAGTCAAAGGCAAGGGAAGCGTCTTCCTGAGAGCTTTCAGGGGGAGTGTGGCCCTGTAAACAACTAGATGTTTGACTCAAGTCTCCAGAGCTGGAAGAGAATACAATCCTCTTTTATTGTTCTAAACCATCCAATTTGTGAATAATAGGTTATGGCAGCTCAACCTAAAACATTTTCCAATCTAGATGTTTTTCTTCCCTTGCCTAATTTTCCTAGCTAGAACCTCCAGTACAATGTTTAATAGCAGTGGCAAGAATAGATATTCTTATGTTGTTCCTGATCTTAGCAGGAAAGCATTCAGTCTTTTACCAATAAGTATGAAGTTTGCGGTTTTTTTTGTTTTTTGTTTTTTGTTTTTTTTTTTAACAGTTGCTCTTAATAAAATAAAATCTCTTTTATTCCTAGTTTTTTGAGTTTTTTTTTTTTTTTGAATCATGAAAGGATGTTGGAGTTTTTAAAATGCTTTTTCTGAATTTGTTGAAATGATCATGTAGTTTTATTCTTCATTCTATTAATACAATGTATTATATTGATTGATTTTTGGGTGTTCAAACAATATTGCATTCATGGAATAAGCTTCACATGGTCATGGTATATAATGCTTTTATATGCTATTGGGTTCAATTTGCTAGCATTTTATTTCTATTTTTATAGCTGTATTCATAAGGGATTTTGTTTTGTAATTTTTTTTCTTGTGATGTCTGTCTGGCTTTGATACCTGGTAATACTGGTCTCTAAAAGTGAGTCCTTAAAGGTGTTCTTTCCTGCTCTGTTTTTGGAAGAGTTTGAGAAAGGTTAGTGTTAATTTTTAAATGTTTGGTAGAACTGTGTGATGCCAACTGCATCTGGGCTTTTCTTTGTGAATTTATAAAAATATATATTAGTACTTAAATTGCTTTACTTGTTATAGGACTATTTATATTATCAATTTTTTCAGTTTTAGTATTTTATATTTTTCTAAGAATTTGTCATTTCATCTGAGTTATCTTTAAAAGGGATTGCAATGTCTCCTCTTTCATTTTTGATTTTAATAATTTGTATCTTTTCTATTTTTTGCTTGATCAGTCTAACTAAAGGCTTATTGTACCAGACAAATCTCTAAGTGACCTTGAATTGGCAGTAATACAAATAGTAAGTTTTATCTCAACACCAGTAGCTTAACAACAGCAGATACAAAGCAGGCAGGAAAGAAAATAAGGGATAAATAGTTGTAGAAGACTCTCATTAACTCTATAGTTGCAGGTTAGCCATTTAAGCTCTGAATTTTTATTTTCAATTTACCCATCAGTCTTAAAATATGCACAGGAATAGACCATAATATGTAATCAGCTGGATTCCTAGCAAACCAGGCATACCTCTGAACTTCTGCAGGTGTTCCTACCCTTTCTCCCTTTCCTGCTCTAATGATTCCTCAGTATCCAGCCTTTTTACAGAAACAGCACATCTGCTCTCCTTATCAGACTTTTAATACATTAGCTTCTGGCAATATGTGCTGAGGCCTTGTCTGTGTTTTCTGAGCATCCTGGTACTCACGCGATGGCCCACAAAGCTTGAGCAGTTGGGCAGCTCCACCCCACATACATGTTGCTGGCCACCCTACTATTCCCCCTGCAGACGCCCCTCCCTCACGCATCATTTGGTATCTAGGATCCTGTTCATTACTCCAATTGTGATGAGAAGAACTCAAAATTGTATAGAAAAACCTTCCCCCAAACTGGGAGGGAGCTGAGAGGCCAAAGAGTGACTGTAACAAGTCCAGCTTGGTGAGTAGATGAGTTTATTAAGACTTTACATGGGGTGCTCCTGGACAGCGGCAGAACAGCTCCAGAGATCTGCACCTCCTCCTGTCTCTAAGCTGCTTCTAAGCTAATTTTCTGGCACTTTGCCTGCTGTGTGCCTATGAAGAGGCTGTTTCTCTTGGTAGGTTCTCAGATCCTTTTGGGGATGTTTGATTTCTCAGTGACACCTGCTCCTCAGCTGGACACCATGGCCTTGGCTCACCACCTGGCCTTCAAGGTTTAAGCAGCAGACATTCACCCTTAAGTAACCGGTGGGAGACCCATCTCTCTCTCTCTCTCTCTCTCTCTCTCACACACACACACACACACACACACACACACACACAAGCATATGCATGCATTTGGTTTGCTGGAAGAACTGGGCCAGCTGTCTTGGCTGTCTGGAGAGGATATTCTAATACTGTGCACTCTGGATTTGTCTGATCGGTTCTTTTGTGGTGTTAGTTGGTTTCTGTATCTCTTTCTGTAAATAGATACTGGATTTAAAGACTTGATTCGATTCCACTTTTTGATTTTTTTAAAATTTCTGTGGCTACATAGTAGATATATATATTTATGTTGTACATGAGATGTTTTGATGCAGGCATGCAATGTGTAATAATCACATCATGGAGAATGGAGTATCCACTCCCTCAAGCATTTATCATTTGTGTTACAAACAATCCAATTATGCTCTTTTAATTATTTAAAAATGTACAATGAAGTTATTATTGACTATAGTCACCCTGTTGTGCTATCAAATATTTAGGTGTTATTTATTCTTTCTACTTTTTTGTACCTATTAACCATCCCCACTTCCCTACCCCCGCAACCCACCTCCCCAGCTACACTTCCCAGACTCTGGTAACCATCCTTCCATTCTCTGTGTCCATGAGTTCAATTCTTTAGATTTTTAAATTCCAAAAATAAGTGAGAATATGTGATGTTTGTCTTTATGCCCCTGGCTTATTTCACTTAACATAATGATCTCCAGTTCCATCCATCTTCTTGCACATGACAGGATCTCACTCTTTTTTATGGTTGAATAATACTCCGTTGTGTATATGTACCATATTTTCTTTATCAATTCATCTGTTGATGGACACTTGGGTTGCTTCCAAATCTTAGCTATTGTCAACGGTGCTGCAACAAACACGGGAGTGCAGATATTTCTTCTATATACTGATTTCCTTTCTTTTGGGTACATTCCCAGCAGTGGGGTTGATGAAGCATATGATAGCTCTTTTTTTAGTTTTTTGATGAACCTCCAAACTGTTCTCCCTAATGGTTATACTAATTTACATTTTCACCAACAGTGTATGAGGCTTCCCTTTTTCTCCACATCCTCTCCAGCATTTGCTATTTCTTGTCTTTTGGATATAAGCCATTTTAACTAGGTTGTGATAATATCTCACTGTAGTTTTGATTTGCATTTCTCTGATGATCAGTGATGCTGAGCACATTTTCATATATCTGTTTGGCATGGGTATGTCTTGTTTTAAGAAATATCTATTCAAATCTTTTGACCATTTTATAAATTGGATTACTACATTTTTTTTCCTATAAAGTTGTTTGAGCTCCTGAAGCATCTTGGTTATTAATACTTTGTCAGATGGAGAGTTTGCAAATATTGTCTCCCATTCTGTGGGGGTTATCTCTTCACTTTGTTCATTGTTTCCTCTGTCTCTTATACACATCTAGATGTGTATAAGAGACAGCCATATGACCCAGCAATCCCATTACTGGGTATATACCCAAAGGATTATAAATCATGCTGCTATAAAGACACATGCACTCGTGTTTATTGCAGCACTATTCACAATAGCAAAGACTTGGAACCAACCCAAACGTCCATCAATGATAGACTGGATTAAGAAAATGTGGCACATATATACCATGGAATACTATGCAGCCATGAAAAAGGATGAGTTCATGTCCTTTGCAGTGACATGGATAAAGCTGGAAACCATCATTCTCAGCAAACTATCGCCAGGACAGAAAACCAAACACCGCGTGTTCTCACTCATAGGTGGGAACTGAACAATGAGATCACTTGGACACAGGGTGAGAAACATCACACACCTGGGCTTGTTGGGGAGTGGGGGCTGGCGGAAGGATAGCATTAGGAGAAATACCTAATGTAAATGATGAGTTGATGGGTGCAGCAAACCAGCTTGGCACATGTATACCTATGTATAAAACTTGAAAGTATAATTAAAAAAAAAAAACCCAGGTAAACTGATTCCTCCAGTTTTGTATTTTTTGCTTAGGATAGCTTGGGTTATTCTGGTTATTTTAAGCTGATAGCAACAGTATTTGTATAAACAAATAAACTGGCAAAAATAAAACTAATAAAAACTTTACACCTTCAGTTCAGTTCGTACTCATACCCCAGCTTTTTAACTTTTTGTTGTTTCTATTTATATCATATTATACTGTGTATGTCTTGAAAAGTTGTTATTATTTTGATT